CCCCCCGGTTTTTTTTTTAACCCCACTGCACTTTCCCCCCGCCCCCCCGCGGGGGGGGGGGGAAAAAAAAAAAAAAAAAAAAAAAAAAAAAATCCTGGGAATGAAGCAGGAGCAAGTTGTTGCGTCGTTTTTTTGCGCCTACTGGCCCTGTCAGCGTGTAGTCTACATGACCAGCAGGCAGGAACCAGTACACGCTCCTATCCGGATTCCTCCTTCGCTGCGTGGAAAAACGAGCTACTTTAATGCTCTCAAGCACGCCATAACCTTTCTTGTCATTTTTTTTAAAGCTTCAGAGATCAGCTGCTCTGCTCATGGCCCAGCCCGTCAGGGCAAACTGGATCTGCTTTTGGATTAGTCAGTGTGTTCTCAAACACACCCATTGCTAATAACTAAACAGCCTCATTGTGCATACAGAGCCTTGCAGAAGTATTCATACCCGTTGAACTTTTTTTTGTCTTTGCTACATCAGCTTCGGGTGTTTTTGTGTTTTGTCTGTCTGATATTCACATTTTGACATTTTGCCCATTCTTCTTAGAAAATAGCTCAAACTCAGTCAGATTAGACGAAAAGCAACTATGAAGATCACATTTTGAAATTTTGCTGCATATTCTCATTTATTTGGATCCGAGTCTGCTTTGACTGGGTCATTCTAGCACATATGCTTCAATCTGAACCATTCAGCTGAATCTGCTCCAGTTTCAGGTCTCATGTAGCTTTATCTATCATCCCATCAGCACTGATTAGCTTGAGGAAAAGCATTCCCACAGCATAATGCTGCCAACACCATGTATCACTGTGTAGGTGGGGTGTTAGTTTTCCACCATACATGTCATACAGTTTTGACATCTTGGCCAAAACATTCATCTCTGGTGTCATCTGACCAGGTCACCTTTCTCTGTCCCCTACAAACTCAAAAACTGAAAGGATGACTTCCACCATTTTTTTTTGTTTGTTTTTTTTTTTTTCAATAAAAGTGCATGTAATAAAAGTGATGATTGGTCAGAGTCAGTTTGGGTGGAAGATGTTGTCTTAGGTTTGGACTTATGCCATGCTCTTTGTTCAAAGTTTTGGATATTATTTAATCTCCTAACCCTACATTTTCCCATCACTTCCTCCCTGACCTGTCTGCTGTCTTCATGATGCCGTTTGTTCACTAATCTTCTTTAGGAAATCACTAAAATTATACTGAAATTATTTAACACTGAGGGTGACTCCATGTACTACTTACTACTTCCAGGTATCAAAGAGACTGAATACCAGTGGAGGACATCGCTTACTAAAGAGTTAGTTATGCTAACCCTAACCATTAATCATCAGCATTAGTTTGGCTAATGCTAAAGCACTACACCAATATTTAGCAAAAGCTAATTGCTAAAGTGCTAACTTCAGTTCAAACTACAGCTACCAATTTCATTTGTACTTGATAATTTACATATTCTACACTGCCTGTAGATATTTATGTTTATATCTTGTTTTCTGCTGTCCATGTTTTATTTTCTTCCTGTGTTTCTTGTTTCAAATAGTTATTGAGGGGAAAAAGGGAAGCGAAATAAGAGCATGAATGTAAACGTTTAACTCCTTGAAGAATTCCTAAGTTAATAACCAAAACTTCAACACAGATTCCAAACTTCATTCAGCTGAAAGTTCACCAGACAGTCAAGTAAGTTAGTGCTTTAGAATTTATCAGGAAATATGAATTTAGGGGAAGCTAAGTGAGCTAAGCGTTC